TTTCACTAAAAGACCCAATCAAAAGTAACATTTAAACTCAGAATTGCAAAAATTGGTGAAAAATGATTTAAATAAGCATTAATACTTTGAGACTGCATTATATTCATGCTTACTGTGTTCTTACGATGACTTTTTCAAATATCAATTTATTTGACTTAAAATGAAATTGCTAAAATTCCTGTACATATCAAAAATTATTTATGCTCTTATTTTCATTTTACATTCTGCACTTACAAAAACCAATAACACGACACCAGACAAGCACTTAACCACTCTTAGCAGAAGCTTCTCTCTGATTAATTGCAATTATCTCTCTAAATTTTGCATTTAAACTGTCTTTCATTTAAAAATGAATAAATAAAAGCTTGAGAAGGAATATTAAAATAGTCTTTTTGTGTTTTACAACTGTAACAAAATCAGAGACATGTTTTCCACTTTGCTTGAATTCTTTTGCTTTTTTTTTCAATTCAGACCGGGACCAGCTTTCATGTTTTCGACCAAGGCAGATTTGCCAAGGAAGTTCTGCCCAAATACTTCAAACACAACAACATGGCGAGTTTCGTACGCCAGCTCAACATGTGTAAGTATCAGCTTATACTGACAAACATCCCAAAGCACTGACAGGCTGACCGACTGCTTGTGTTTATGTCTCTCTCAGACGGCTTCAGAAAAGTGGTGAATATTGAGCAGAGTGGGCTGGTGAAGCCAGAGCGAGACGACACTGAGTTCCAGCACCTCTATTTTCTCCAGGGCCACGAGCATCTGCTGGAGCACATTAAACGCAAAGTGAGACCACTCATCTATAAGTGATTCTTACTCTTTATTTGCTCTCATCCCTACTGTAAAAAATGCTAGGTTGCACACAATTTCTTTATGTTGCCCCAACATAAATCAATTAACTTACTTTAATTGTTTTAGCAAATTTAGGTGGATTGAACATAAAACAATTAAGTTGTCTCAAAAAACCCTCAATAATTGTTTTATTTCAGCTTACTTTAAATAAGTAGTTCGAACAAGCAGCAAAATCATTTTTTTGAGTGTTCCCTCACACATACACACACACACACACACAAATATGGGTTTGGATGGTTTATGAGGACTCTCCATTGGCCTAATGTATTTTATACTCTAAAAACAGCTTATAATGTTGAATTACCCTAACCATATATCTAAAGCCAACAAAATGAATATGAAAATACCACGTTAAGTAGGATTTTTAACAGTTTGGATTTATGAGGACACAATGCATGTCCTTATAAACCACATCCACATTGTCATACCTAGGTCATACCCATGTCATTGTACAAATCTTTCCTCATAACCCCCAAAACATGTACACACGCACACTTACACATCAAGGAGAAGGCTGGAGGCTTGTTTATAATCTAACATTACCACACTACTCATTTGTTTGTGTGTCGGCAGGTGTCAATAGTAAAAAGCGAGGAGACTAAAGTGCGACAGGAGGACTTGAGTAAGCTGTTGTATGAGGTCCAGGTGTTGCGGAGCCAACAGGAAAACATGGAGATGCAGATGCAGGATATGAAACAGTAAGATGCTAAACTCATCAATACTTACACCTGGTTAAGCCTAAAGCTCTTAATGGACCCTTATCACAATTCCCGGTTTCTCAGTAGCAGAAGTCATCATAGTTGGGTAAACTTAGAGCGCAGTAAATGTGAGAGTACAACAAATGTTTTTTTTTTTTGTTTTTTTACAATCCTATCTGCTGAAATAATAAAAGAAAAACTCAAGGATGGTGTAATCAAGACTTTTGGAAAAGGAAACAAATTGTGTGAGACTGATAACGGTAGCCAGAAGAAAGAACTATTTTAAATCTACTGTCCTGCTCATACGCTCTACATATAAATGATATCAAAATAATCAAAATAATAAAATTTTTTAAGCATTTAAGATGCTGATGATCGTTAAACGCATCATAGCAAATGATGTGAAAAGGGTCCATAACCAAAAAATTGACCCCCCAAAAAACAACTTCCTTTCACGACCTTTCACCTCCTTTGCACCCGTAACTTTTCACCTACTTCTGTTATTAGCTCATTCATTGGCTCCTTTGCATTGTGAATCTCAGTGCTTTGTTCAAACTGCCTCAATAGAACATTCATTCATTTGCTCACCTGACAAGTGAAGTTCAGCAGATCACAGTTAGACATTCAGTGCTAGAGGCTGAATAACCATCTACATCAGATGATATTGATGTATTTTAAATATTTTATCCTGTTTATCCATTTCTCCCCATCCCTATATATATATATACATCTTATCATCCACTTGCCTGCTAATTTATGTCCATCCATCCTTTAATGCTTTAATCTACTCACTTGTTCATCCATCCATCCATCCATCCATCTTTCACTCCGTACTTCTATCTATCTATCTATCTATCTATCTATCTATCTATCTATCTATCTATCTATCTATCTATCTATCTATCTATCTATCTATCTATCTATCTATCTATCTATCTATCTATCTATCT